GCTGGGACTTTCCATGTGCCTGTAATAGAAAATTTCTAGCCTCAAAAGACTGTAGCTTCCCCATTGATTCCTTGGTTTGTAAGTGAGAAAATATTTATAAGTGGTTCATCATGAAAGTTTTGAGATACACAACAATCACAAATCATAAAATCCACAAGGAGAGAAACAAATGAAGCCATCCCAGCAACACCAGTGAGCCAAGCAAGTTGAAATGCGCATGGGTGAATCAGAACAGACCCTGTTGACTATGCTTCTTGGAAATGAAATAAGGGTTTATAACACAGTCTGTCCCAGAACTTTCATAGTCACCCACATACATGTTCAGACTAATTCACCAAAAAGTCTATTAAAAAGGAAGATACAGATTTAGTCCATGAAGGGTTATGTTATTATATATTAGGTTTGAAAATACCGGAGTTCAAACTGTGCTTTTCTACTTTTTTAGACTTTATTATCCTGGCGGTGTGGGGGATGCTGGCTGTAAGTGGAATTACATTTCAGATCAGAAGAGAAAGAGGACAACCGTTCTTTCCTCCCCACCCGTACAAGTTATGGAAGCAAGAGCGGGCGCGCAGAGTAACCAACATTCTGGACCCGAGCTACCACATCCCTCCACTGAGAGAGAGGCTCTATGGCCGATTAGCCCAGGTCAAAGAACTCTTCCGGAAGGAACAGCCAGCTGGAGAGAGAACACCCCTGCTTCTGTAGCTGCCCAGGGGCTCAGTCAGTGTGTCTCTGCTTTGGTGTTTAAGCCCCTTCCGTAATTCCAGTGTGAGTCTAAGAAGAGATCAGGCGTATGTGTCTGTGCTTTGTATGATACTGGGGTGTCTGTAATGATAGATGGTTAAGGGTACGCTCGGGAATTAGGATGATTCTGAGGGACAGAAGGAAAAAGACAATGGTAGGATGCTTTTCCTCATTTCCAGCTACTTGAGAAATTAAACTTTTGGTTTACAAATAAATGATCGACATATTCCATTAAATAGATACACTAAAAAAAAAATTAATTAAAAACTGTGATTCTCCTGCAAAGTCCTGGTGTTTTTGAACAAATCTCTCCCCTCCTTGAACAAATCTCTCCCCCAAGTCCGTCTGAATGTGGAGAGGGGCAGGTTCATTTAAGTGTTGTACTGAATCTTTATTTTGCCACTATGTTTGGAGATGAGGGATTTGAAACTGGGCCTTTAAATTTCAGAATACAAA